CTGAGCTTTTTTCCGGATGCAATTCTGGTCACATGCTGATGATGAGCTTGCGTGCTCAATCCCCAGTGGGGGCTGTGCAGGAGGTAGCCGATCAATAATTCACTATCATCACTGATGTTTCTATCTCTCTCTCCCCTCTCCCTTCCTCTCTGAAATCAATAAAAAAATATATATTTTTAAAATCCTGGCTCCACCAGACACTCATTGCCTGAAGTGCTCTGAGACTCAGTTTCCTTGTTTGTATAATGGGCCCCTGCAAGCTCTGCACCTTCCCCTTTGCTCCTCCTCTTGGGGAGGCCTCAGGTACCGGCAAATTCCCAGACCACCTCTGTCCCTTTCCAGGCACCTGACACACCAGCCCCAGACAGCGCTTCCCTTTCCCAAAGCCCCGGCTGTGCCCTCCCCCCGGAATGCCCAGGCCTGGGAGCTCTCCTTCTAGGCTGAACAGAAATTCCTGTTTCTGGAAGCACTGATTTCCCCAGGCAGGATCCCCGTCTCTCCCTGCAGCACTCAGCCCTACTGGATTTTTAAAATGTTTTTATTGAAAAAAAATTTTTTTTAAGAGAGAGAGGAAGGGAAAGGGGGAGAGAGCGAGAGAGAGAGAGAGAAACATTGATCATCTGCCTCCTGCACAGCCTCCTGCTGTTGGGACCTAGGGGCTGGCTCAAGCTCGAAACCCAGGTATGTGCCCTGATGGGGAATCGAACCAGAGACCTCTGGTGCATGGGACGATGCTCAACCAACCAAGCCACACCAGCTGGGCCCTACTGGGTGTCTGTGTGCTTCTTTGTTGCTTTATCTGATAATCATGTCGCCCTGTGAGGGTGTCTACTCTGTGAGGGCAAGGATGGCCTCATACGCACCTGGCACACAGTAGGCCCACAGTCACCCTTCCTAAGTGAATGAGCAACAATGGAAGAAACATTGGCAACTGGTTCGCTTTTCTTTTAAATGCCTTGTGACCCACAAAACACATTTGAGGCTCCCACCTGGCCCACAGGCCGCCAGTTTGAAACTCCTGCTCTAAAGAGCCAACAGCACAACAGCCAACTAGACGGTGTTTGTGCTTCTCTCAGGCAAAGGGCTGACCCTCCGAAGTCCCACTGCCATCTCGGAACCATGTCCTGAGGACATGCAGGTCCAACCTGGCACGTGCTCACCGGCCACAGAGCCCAGACTCTCTGTCACAGACGATGCAAACGGAAGTCCTCTGCCCTACCCAATCTCCCGAGAGACTTGGGATCCTGACTGCTGGGGCCAGAGACTACATTCAGGGCCCAACCTGCTGTCCAAGGCAGATTGGAGCCCAGGGCTGCCCGGCACCCCTGGCAAGGTCCCCGAAGCCACATGGAAGCTGCAGGAACGGCCCCAGGTTTCCCTCTTTGTTCCAGAGAAAGCTCTCCCCGTGGGGCCCCAGAAAGGTGTCTCCAGAGGCCCAGCTCTCCCTGCTTGGGAAATTAGCACATCTGTCAGAGCTGGGCAGAAGGGACTCGGCCCACAGCTCCACAGACCCAAGACACAGTCAGCAGAGACTCCAAGACAGGGCCTTGGGGCACCTCTGGTCCCCCACGACTCCCCCAGAAATGTCACCAGGTGCCAGGGACACAGGGGCAGGGAGAGGACAGACCCAGCCTGGCCTCCCTCACTGCCTAGTCTTGTAGGGGAGAGAACAACAGGCATATAATTGCGTCAGGGACAGAGGCCTTCAAGGGAGAAA